TATTTGGAGATCGGTTTAAGACCACCTTAAATGGAGTAAGGCATTTGATTCTCTATCCAGATCTTTGAGATAGGTTTAAGACCACCTTAAATGGATTAAGAAATCATATTCTCAAATCTTTGAGATATGTTTAAGACCACCATAAATGGAGTAAGGCATCTTGTTCTCATCTGCAAGTTAATCAAAATCAAATGATTTTAAAGTGATGGGCTTAGGGTAGAAGGATGATAGTTCACTTATTTTAAGCCCACAATTGATGATAATATGATAATTTATTAAGAATATGTATCACATAAATTAAAATTTAAATAATTGTCAATTCCTCCATTGAGATTGTTAATGGCTTGGTAGTGATCTAGACTTGATATTTAAGCATGCTTAATGAGATTTACAAAATGTAACGTGATTAAAGGTAAGAACTTCTAAACACTACAAGCCCAAATTTAGTGGTGGGTACAATATCTTTAATGCCTTAAACTTGCCTTAGGGACGTTCACCTACATAACTCTTAAATGAAGCTTGGAGCTAACTTTGTGAACTTGTCATTTAAGCCTTTAAACCCTTGACTTCAGGGCTGTTACTTTGTCTAGGAGCTTGGAGCATACTCCGTGGGTAGCAATCTACAATATCATGAAGATCTATAACAACACATCTTTACTTAGAATTAAACAACAAGCTATAGGATTTTGTGGTTTTCTGCCTAGTGTTACATGAGAACTCAACTCATATTTAGGGCTTTATATGACTCTACTATACAATTTAAGCCCTAACTTGTTTTAATTTAAGCCCTAACTTGTTATTTAAGCCCTAACTTGTTTTAGGATTCCGAGGTTATCATTTGTCACAACCTAAATCCTCACATGTTGGTGGCCATTTGTGCGACTGTCAACATACATTTAAGTACTAATTAATAAAATTGGCAGGATCTAATATTTAAATAATTCTTTTTTTTGAAATTAAATCCAAACCATAGGATAGATTGGAAAGTCACTGGGTTTCTCCTTACGATTCAAGGAATCTCCTAGTTCTTCTTCCTTTGGATTCCAAAATAAATGTTCTTAAAATGAGTAATTCCCCTTCCACACCTCTTTCTCTTATCTTTTGAAAAGTCCTATCCATTTGAATTCTTAAAGATAATGTCCCCTGATTTTTATCGAGAGTTTTATTAGGTGACTTTGATTATCTAAGATGTATTTAACTATAGGGGCTTTCTCTTATAGCAAACTTTAAGAAACCATATTAATATAAACCTAATTTAATTTTTTGTAGTAAATAGGCGAACTTGTCGGTCAACATCAAAAATGATTTCTTTGGTAGACTTGAATGGATGTTGTAAATTCTTTAGTTTATTTAATCAAACCTTACCAGTAAGTAGTCTATCTACCCTTTAAAATAGATGTATTGCTTAAAGTTTTAGGCTCATTTATTTAAACTACTGAGGATAGAAAATCAGTGCGGTCTCACATTTTTAAAAAAATAAAATACTACTTTTCCTATATATATATATATATTAAAAAGGAGGTTTAACAATTATTTAAATGAAGCTCAGGGTATAACTTATAGATGGGGAGCTTGTAGTTTGTCCCCCGACAACAAAAAAAAAAAGAAGAGGAGATGAGGGAAAGTCAGAGACAAAACACTCATTAGATAAGTGTCTAGACATAGCAACCCAATTTGTAGGTCTATTCCCTTCCCTGTAAATAAAGGAAAAATAAACATTCATGCTGGCTTTCATGACTTGAATCTTTTTTACCCATTGTGAATGGTTCCAAGAGGAGTACCTCCCTTCCTCGAGTAACTGCAAAAGTGCTTGTGAATCTCCTTCAACTACTAAATGATGCCACTGATTCATCTTAGTAAGGGTAATTGCCCAAAAAATAGCAATCAGCTCAGCTAAAGCACAGACAAGAGCTTGAAAAAATAATAGGCAGTGTCCAGCATGATCCCTGAACACCCTTCCCACACCAGCATCCAACTAAGAGAAGCTACCATCAGTATTAATTTTGATGAATGGGCAGTTAGGAGGATTCCAATAGACTTTAGTAACCAGTGGATTAAGTGTTCTTTCAAAGAGGGGAGGAGAACAAATGTATTTGAAATTTTGGTGATGAATTAAATTATAAAGATAGGAGATGTAGTGTCTAGTCACCTGTGACACAGTGAGGGTCTACCCTTCAAATTTAGCCTTGTTCCTGGCCATCCAAATGAACCAATCCACCATGAAAGGGATAATACCAACCCTAGCAAACTTCCTGCTCTCCATGCAAGAGTAAAGATTAGACCATTCAAAATAAATAGTATTCAGAGTCAAATGATCAGAGAAAGTAGACCAAACCTCATTAGAATACTGGCACCTAAAGAAAAAATATGTAGAATATATATATATATATATATATATATATATATATACATATATATATATATATATGCTCTGCTAGGGTTTTTGCAGGGTTGAAGTTTGGTGGCTACTGGCTGAAGGGGCTGAAGGGGTACTCTGAGGTGGTTGCTTGTGGATGTTTCTTCCTTTCTGGTTTTTTATCCTGGTGGTGGTGGAGTTTTTTTAGTGCAATTGTTGGGTTTTACTGTTCCATTGGTTTTCTCCCTAGCTGCTCTATAGTTGCTGGTCTCTGCTGCAGTTTCAACATGACCACACCTATTGATGCTGCTACTGATTCTCTTTGGACCAAGGCAACTTATGTTAGGGTTTTTGGAAACTCTATTGATGTTCTACAGGATCTAGACCATTTGGTTTTCCCTAAGGAATTTCATGATACTGCTGCAGGTAAAGGAAGTTGTCCTTGCATCCACCCTCTTGGATCCAAGGAGGGAGAAACTGCTGTGTTCTTCACTAACAGAGAGATAATCTCTCTAAAAGAAGATGTGAAGTTTACTTTAATAGGGAAATTTCATTTGGGACACTCAAAAATGGAGCTGGTTAGGAATTTCTTTGAATCTCTAAAATTTATTGGTAATTGGAAGATAGGGCTGATGGATGGAAAGCACCTGCTCATCCAATTAACTGCTGAGAAAGATTATGCAAGACTTTTTGCAAAACAATCTGTAATCATTGCTGGAACTACCATGAAAATTGTAAAATATACCCCTGACTTTGATCCAAGTAAAGAACCACCTGTGGTTCCTATTTGGTACAAGTTCCATGGGCTTCCACTTCCTTTCTTTAGGTTGAGTGCATTGTTTAACATAGGGAGAGCTCTGGGCACACCTTTGATAGTGGATGCACCCACTTACAACAAAGCCAGGCCAGCACTGGCTAGAATACAAGTGGAAAGAGACATCACCCTCCCTGAACTGAAAAGAATCTAGATTAGCTCAGATACTGATGGTTTTTGGCAGAACATTGTCCCTGAACAAAAACCTTATTATTGCCAACATTGTAAAATGTTTGGCCATACAGTGGAAAGATGCTACAGATTACATCCTCCAATCAGAAGAAATGCTGGCAAGGACCATAAGGAAACAGGAAATATATTACAACAAGCCATAGAAAAGTTTGCTGAAGAATCACATCTGAATAACAGGAAGGAGCACACTCAAAGAACTGAAGAATTATTCCAAATCACTAAGGAAAACTCTTCACCAGAGGATCCTTCAGATGAGCTAGCAGAAGGCTCCCCTACAAACAGAAACACAGGGACCCCCCCAACCACTATTGTCAGAAAGGAAATCCAAGAAATTACTATAATCACTCCCTCACCTTCCCCACTTGAGGGAGGACAGACAGAAAATCATGGCAAGGCACCTGAGGATCATGTTATTGCTGGTATTCAATAGGTAATAGAAGATGATTGATAGGTACAAACAGATAGAAGGAAAAGAAAACAAATAAATGAAGTTCAGAAATTACAGCATGGAAGATCAAGACATGTTGAGAGTAAAGCTAGTATTAAGATTGGTTCTCCCCAACATCATAGAGGAAGAACCAGATCAAGATCACAGCCATCCCTACAAATCCACCCAAGAAATGATTAATATCCTTTTCTGGAACATTAGAGGCCAATCCCCTCTCTTTTAAAAGAGTTTTACATTCAAACCATAAATATAAACCTTGGTGCATTGTGATTCTTGAGCCTATGGTTCACAAAACCCACCAAAAGCTTACCAAGAAATTCCATGGATTCATTAACTTTGCCAACACCAATAATAAAATCTGGATTTTATGTAGAAAAGAAATCTGATGGAACATCATTGTTAATCACAAACAATTTGTCCATTTTAAGTTCAATATTAACAGCCATGCGGGCTTTGCTACTTTCACTTATGCAGGTTGTAGTAAGTAAGCTAGAAAGAAGCCGTGGAGTTGCCTGTTGAATATCAGTCAGCTTATGGATTCCTCCTGGATTGTGGGATTTAACTGCATTGCCTCTACTACTAAAAAAATTGGGGGTAGAGCTCCTAACCTTAATAACATGAATACTTTCACTAATAATATCCACAGGGCTGGACTGTTTGATTTGGGCTATAAAGGTCCTGCTTTTACTTGGAAGAGAGGTAAAATCTGGGAAAGACTTGATAGGTGTCTGGTAAATGATAAATGGTACAATCACTTCCTTTTCACTTTTGTTACCCATCTAAGTCTTGTTGGTTCTGACCACAGACCTATCCTTATCAACATCACTTCCTCAGAAAATACATATTCCCCCTCCCCATTTAGATATCTGAACATGTGGTCTTCTCATCCTTCCTACAATCCTTACATTGCCAACCTTTGGAATGGAATTTCACATACTGGCCCTCTTATCAAACTCAGCTTATTACATATCAAA